CCCGTCCTTCTCAGACACTCCACCTACCAGGAATACTTCCCCTTCGAGAACTTTCTACCAATAGCAGTTATTCTGATGCCAATCACATGTTGTTCTTTATGGTGAAAGAAAGAAAACGCAGACAAGAAAGAAGTCTTCAAAGGACTTAGGGTCAATTTCAAAAGCCATTCAAACTATTTCGGTGTTGCCACTCTCCTACCATTCGGCTCAACTGTGAACTCAGATCGGAACTGCATATTGGTAATTTTTAACTATATACCAGACAACAGAATTTACTAAAAACACAATCAAAATATGACTGTTCAGCAGTGAGTTTGGAAAGCTATGTGCATGATATAGACTTGCACCATGAGGTACTGTTTAAATAGAAGTGAAAGAGGTTTTTATCCGGTCTTAATAGGAACAATGTTTAAACACATATTGACTGGGTAGCCACTTTTTACCCTGCAGTAGGACTATCCTCCAGTAATAAGGCTCCAGAGGTAAAGCGATCACCTTGATCTTCAGTCCTTCTTGGGGAGTTTGATCTTTTGCTCTATTCCCTAATTCCTGCAAGGGCAGAATGATCCAAAAGGCAAGAACCAGTCACCTGGATCAGCATTAAGCACAGCTTCTGTCCCAAGAAAGGCATGATGTGATCCCTTATGCAACAAGAAGGGAGGAATCTAGAATCCAATAAAGCCAGAAAATATTTGGTATTTTTCTTTGTCCAGATGCTCATTCTTGACATTTTCCTGACTTTCCAGGCCATTTCCTTCAGTTTGGTCCTGGTGCCCATGGCCTTGACGTTCCCTCTCCTGACCTCTTCACGCCTCCCTAGCCATCCTGGTTTCGTTTGTGCCATGCTCTCCCACAGTCCCAGGCTCCACCCGCACCTCAGCTGTGTCTCCCATTCCCCCTTGACTCTGGAACACACTTTCCAAATGCAGCCTTTGAGGAGGAGAGGCCCACAGTTACTGCCTTGTTTTCCTCCCCTCAGGCTGTGAGGCCCACAGGCCACGACCAAATCGGGCACAGTAACTCCAGAGCGCTCCCAGCTTAATTGCCAGGGACAGACTGCCGTGGACTTTACCTTCTGAGAGGATGAGCGAGTTTTGAGGAGCAGATTGTGACTTCTGTGACTGAAAACTCTGAATGGACTGTTCTTTGGGACTTCCTGGGACATGGGCCTCTAGCACCTGTTCTCTGGAATTGCCACTCTAGGGACAGTTACATTCTACAGTGCAGACAACAGATCTTGGTACGGTGCCATTTCTGTACACTCTCGAATCATCTAAGCTGTTAAAAACACGAAGGAAACAACTTTGGAAGGGGTGGAGCCCCCTGGGTAGCAAAGGGAACATGTGTGGGTGGGTCGGGGGAGGGCACCTTCCCTGGGCATCCAGGTTTTGGAGACAGGAAACAGACAGGCTGGACTCCGTGTGCAGTTTAGGTCCTCCAGCTGGAGAGAGCTGGAGAGGGGTCAGACCGATGAAAATCTCCACCTCTGCCCTCCCTCGGTGGGTTTAAGCCAGTTCCTTTATCTCTCCCATTCTCTCTCTCCGAGTTTCTGAAAGGGGAATTGTGTGGCCTGCTGCATGAGGTTGTCATAGGCCTGAGAGAAGTGATTGTGCGCTGAGACCCCTCCTCAGTGCCCACCCTCTCTCCACCCTTGTTAAGATTCTAGAAGGTTCTTTTTCACTTTAGATGTAATAAGAAGACCTCATTAACAAAGTGGAATCAAGCTTAAATTACCTGTTGTTTGCATTCACACCTTATGGGTCTTGAGGGTCAGTGGTGGTGGAGAAGTGTGAAGTCAACTTAGAATCCTTTCATACCAAGGCCTCTTGAGTCTTCAGAGGCATCAGATACAATGATTTAGTGTAATTGTAAATGATCATAACGAGACCCATCCTGACTTAAAGAATGAATATATGAATTTTGTGCTTATAGAGGACTCTTACATAGATTATCCTATTTGACCTTCAAAACAATTCTGTAGGTCAAGAAGAGCACAAATTTGTTTCGCACAGAAACTTGCTGCAGGTCCCAGCTAATGAACGATCACAGCAGGACTCACACATGTCTCCAGACCCCAGATTTACTGTGGACTCCCCCCTCATCCCAATTCATTCTCCAGCTCCAGCTCCCATCAGGTAGGAAGTATGAAGCCACACGTATGGTGCCTGTTGCAACTTTAGAAAGAAAAGATGTTTCAGGAAACAACTCACAGTGTTCCATTGGGTCAAACCATTTTCTCCAGGCACCCACCATGGGAAGGTATAAGTTCTAAGGTGGCTCACATTTGCTGAGAAACCAATGTGTGCCAGGCACTATGATGGCCTTGCACATGCACTTCCATTCAGTCCTCTCAACAACCCTGTGAATCAGGTATCAGGTATCATGACCTCACCTCAGAGAAGAGGAAGCTACCATATTTTTCAGGCCAAAAGACACACCTAGGTTTTAGAAGAGGAAAATAGGGAAAAAATTTGAAGCAAAAAATGGGGTAAAATATTTAATAACATAAATAACACAATTTTCACCAATATAAATGTAAACAGAACTCACAACAGCATTAAGAACCATTATTCTTCCCAAATTGAGGGGGCGGTGCATCTTATAGTCTGAAAAATGCAGTGATTATCAGAAAGGTAGAGTAACTTTCTCAAGGTCACACAGTAGACTCAGAGTTGTGCCACGTACATCACAACTGAAACCCATGTTTCTCTGGCACTTGCCCTTACTTCTCATACAGAACCTCAGCCCTCTAAAGGTACCCCCAGTACTTGCAGAATTGTCCTACCTGTGTCACAAGTCAACCCTGCTGTCAGGTCTCCACTGACACCCACCATTTCTTTACTCTTCTCCTACTTCAGCCCGCACAATGTCAAAGTGAAGCATTTGGCAGTAATCACCTGTGTGAGAGGCTTGCAAATAAAAAATTAGAAAAGTGTCCTGAACATACCATGTGATTTTGTTGTAGTTGTTGTTGTTTTGTTTTCATACATTGTTTTATTTGGAGACTGGAGTTGAAGTGAAACTTCTCACTCAGTAGCTCTGTGAAGCCCCTGCCCACCTGGGGCAGTTTTGGAAGAAAGGCATCAGGCAGTTACTCCACACTCCTCAATTGCCTCACAGGGTTGTATATGCCTTGAATAAGCATGAGGCATATAAAGCACCCAGTATAAGGCTTGACACCTCTAGAAGCCGAAACAAAAAGATGGTTCTTTCTCATCTAAATCCCTGTTTGTTTTTGTTTTTTTAAAGAGTAGGTTTATTAAAGCTGTATACCGCGAAACAAGGAAGGGCTTAGGCTAGAAGAAGCGAGAGGAGAGAGTCCAGGCGGGGCTGCTTTGGCTCCCTGAGAAAGAAAAGTCGGTGATGGAAGTGAGCCAAGGTGGGGTGCTGTCAGCTCACTGCAGCGTCAGGGCAAAGGGGCCCTGGAGACAGGTTCAGGGGGTCAGCCTGGGACAGGCTGCCGCCGCCCGCTGCTCCCCTTGTTGCATGCCTTGTGGGGTCCCTCAGAATGACCCTCCTTTAGGAGGTGCACTCCTGACAGGGAAGAAAGGCTCGGGGGTGCTCCCGGGAGGGAGAGCCCCTGTTCTGTGTGAATACACAGCTACTCACCTTGTTAGCAGTTAATCAGTCAACAAAGTGGTATTTGTCAAGTCATTACAAAGTTCAAACAAGTTCTCCTATAGGAGAGTGGGAAATCACAAAAAAGGGACTGGATGTTACTCACACAGGACTGTTGTTGAAAATCAGTGCAGTCGGATAATCATCACTGTTTCAATGAATGAGTCTAAGAGGCAGGCATAATAGTGTTTTGCTGAATTTTTCTCTATGATGGTGTTTGTTATAAAGGGACTGTAGTGGCCTGTAAGATGTCTCCTGTCTGGAAATATGGGCAAAGCTGTCAAAACCTTGTGTGAAAATCTGTAGGAAGATGTTTTAAAAGGAAAACCGACATAGGGCCCCAAGCACCCACCCTGAGAACTTCGTAAGACGCACCCTGGCCAGCAGTGGTCAGCCAGGACTGAGGGCCTCGGTCACTTTGTGGGCGCTGCCAACGCGAGGCCACACCCCGGTGTCAGGGAGAGCGACAGCCAGGGCTCCTGCGCTGCAGAGTAGCCACCTTTCGGGCCACATGGTCAGTTTTTCTGAGGATGCTTCCCTTTCAGTCAAGTTCAAATTGATTTAAAAAAAAAAGCTTCCTCCCCTCCCCATCCACTTCCTCCCCAGGAGCAAGGTGGGCAGGGCTGAAAAGCTCCTTTTCCTTCTCAAGAGCTGGTGAGCCCCTGGCGATGCTCAGTGTGAGCTGCTCAGTGAGTTTTCAGGTGGCGTGCTGTTCTCATGAGTGAAGAAGAAGGTGAAATAATTTTTTAAAACAAACAGAAAACCCTCCTAAATAAACCCATAATTTGTTACCTGGATTTCTTTTTTATTTCTTCTTTCCCTCTTTTTTTATTTTTTCTTTTTCACTTTTGTCTCCAGTTTAAAATTTATTTTGCATGCGTCATGACAAGCATTTTGATGTAGGGCTGCGGAGCCCCCCTTGGGAACTCCGAGATAACCACAGGATTTAAAGCGGAGGATCATGAAAACAGTAACGCTGGTTACAGCGGTGTGTTATCAGGGCGAGTGAGGATGCCAAGTACGCTTTAAAGTGAGCCGGAGGCTCCTGCTGCAAATCGCAGCGTCTCACATGCCAGGCACCCAGCAGGTGAGCTAATACACAGTTTAGGATTAAACAATGAAACAAATCACTTTAGTGTTTTCTTTTCAAATATGGGGAAGGGAACAGTTAAGAAAAAGGAATTCCATGGGGCACACCAAGGTAGAGAAGCCCAGCCCTGACTCCCTGCCCACCTGCAGTCTGAGACTGTTCCCTACCAGTTTGTTGTGGTTCTGTGAAGCAAGCGTGGCGTCCAGTCCTGTGGCTTCCCAAGATCACCCCCTGATCCTTGCTTCTTAAAGACCCTCCCTGGGTGCTGAAGATGTGTCATTTGCTTCCTCAGGCTCTTGGTGGAACCATAGGGCTGCCAAGTCACATCTGCCCACAGCTGCTGTCATTCGCATGCCTGGGCACTGAGGTCTGACCGCGACCCTGGCAAGGACCGGCCCTACCGCCTTGGAGGAAATGGCTGAGCAGCCCAAGCCACAGCAGATGAAAACTTCCTTCCTCTTCATCCAGCTGCAGGCCCCCCCTGCCGGAGTTTTCCCCGCCCTGTCTCCAGCAGCTACTGCCTGGATAGCAGCCCCAGGGGGCCCAGAGGAGGGACACGTTTTCCAAAGTCCCAGGACAGGCTTCTTGGCAGGCCGGGACCTTGGACACACTCAGGGCTTGGCTGCCCCTCCCTCGAGCCTGCTGCCAAAGGAGGGCCGTGGGACAGAGCAACCAGCTGCTTTCGGTTGCTCTGCCCAGAAGGAGAAGGAGGGAGAGGAGCAACCTCAGGAGCTGGGTGTGCGGAGGGGTAGCCTCTGCGGTTCCCCACGTTGCAGGCTGTCCCTGGCCCCTGCCTCCAGGAACCTTGGCCAGTTCCAGCTCCCGTCATGCAGACCTCCTACCCCTGATGTCATCATGAGCAATGGAGGCAGCAGTCCCTCCACATGCTGGAAGGAATGGCCAGTTGTTACTGTCCCCCAGGACTCGGGGGGCATGGACCCTCAGGCTTGGAATGCTTTGGAAGGCTCAATTCCACAGGCCACCCTGGCCCATGCTGCTGACTGGGGTGGAAGGGCCGTAGTGAGGATGGGTGCTGCCACCTGCCAAGTACTCCCGAAGAGCTACACAGAGGGCCCAGGTACCTGTGTGTGGGCCAGGAGGGCGACGCTCTACAGATACTGTCCACCTGTTCAGACCAGCAGGAGCTACCCGGCCCCACCTACCACTCTGCCTCTCAAGGTAAGGAAGTGTGTGTGGCTGAATCCCCTAGACAGCTGCCCCCACTGGATGAGGGAGTAGACAGAAGGGTCCGAGGTGCCGTGGGGGTGCTCATCTCCTCACACTTGGACTTCCCTCCACTCCGATGGGCTGTCCCTCAACAGCAGAAGTGCTGCCGTCCACGGTTCTCCTGGGCCCGGCTCTCCTCTGTGCTCTGACACCCAACCAGCCACTAGCAACATTTTGTTCACAAACAGGGAATGAATAACCATTTCCCAAGATTTCTGCCAAAGACAGAAGGAAATTCAGGCAAAGGAGTACATTTGTAGGGGAAGACCAGAGGAAAAGACAGAGAAGGTGCCGGGGCTCTCGGGGAGAGCTGCTGGACAGTTACTGAGCCCAGTGGCAGGCCAGCCGTTAGGCTGGGTGGTTTCCTGCTTCTCATCCTCACCACCACCTGAAAAAACAGAGGCTCACATTCCCAGTTTCAGATGAGGGAACTGAGAAGTGGTTAGGCAAAACTCTTCTCCATCCTTCCAAAAAGACACTCCAGAAAGGGCACTGGGGACTTTGGGGATGTTTTGTGGAGGGTTCCAGAACTGGAGCACAGCTTAGAACTCAGCCACATCCTTGCACCCTTGACCTTCTAAGGATGACCTCTACCTCCTGGCCCCCCCAGTGGGTGTGTAGCCCTGCATCAGCCTCCTTCCCATTTTCCCTCAGGAAGGAAAAGAGTGATGCTGTGTGGTGTCCAGGGTCTCTTCCAGCTCACAGGGGCCCTACCTGTGAGCACGGCCATGCCTGCTCTTTGTAATTAACATCTTATTCTCTGACTCAGCCTCCTGAGCCCAGCCTGCCTTCTCCACCCAGCTCAGGTGCACTGCTCCCAAAATAGGTGGACACAATTTAAAAAGATGCTTTTCCTTTCCCGTTCCCAACAGCATGGGCATGTTGCGGTACTTTGCACATCTCTAGGTGATGGGGGTAAGAGTGAGGAAGAGTGTGTGTACTGGGGTTTGGGGGCTGAGACAGAGGATGGGGGACTGTTGTTGGAGTGTGTGGGAGGTCGGCATGGAGGGCACTCTCAGGGAAGTAACCGGGGAAATGGAGGAAATTCACAGCATTGGAAAGAGGCCTTCCCTGGGCTTGGAAGTGATGCTGTTGCATCTGGACTCTGTGGCTCCCCTGTGTGTATCTTCACACCATCCCTCCATCCTCTTTCTTCTTTCAACAGGGAGCCTGTACAGCCACAGTTAAGAATCAGGCAGGAAGGATGAGCCTGAGTTTTCTTCGGAAGGGAACTCTTAGAAAAAAAGAGAGATGCTTAAGAAATAGCTTACAGTTTACATTCCATCCCAGTTCTTCTATCAGTCATTTCCTACAGGAATTTAGGACACATGACATACCCATGTGTCAGAGACCAGTCTCTGTCTGTGGGGTCACATGGTTGTTTGTGTGCTTTAAAGCTGCTCTGATGACTTGAAAACAGCATCTTTACCCACTCTCTCCCTTCCTGCTTGCTGCGTATAAGCCAAGCCTCAGATTGCCATTTCTCTGCAGAGAAGTACTTGGGGAGTTGATCTAGTTGGGTAGATTTTTGCCTTGTCTGCAGAAATCTGATAGACCCTCAGACATCTAAAAGTAAGGATTGCAAGATTTCTTGCTAAAATCTTAGAAACCCCAAGTTCAAGTTTAATCTTGAGCAACCCTCCAGAGCCCTCAGTTTTCTCATCTGGAAAAGCTGCCTCACGATTGCTATGGATACAGAGCGTTGAGCAACTGAAAGAAACTCTCTGCAGCCCTGTCTTAGGGGAGAGAAGAAATGAAGAAAAATCACTGGGACAGCATGTAGAACCAGGAAAGCCAGGAAGTTAGAGGCGTAAATGTAGGATGGGTCTAGTTAGGAAGCAGAGCTACAAAAACTTACTCTTTTTTGTTTTATTTTTTGTATTTTTTCCATTACCATTTAGTCCCCTTATACTTCCCTCCCCGCTCAATAACCACACTGTTGTCCGTGTCCATGAGTCCTTTTTCCTCTTTGCTTCATCCCTCCACCCCAACTCCTGCTGCCCCAGCTGTCATCCTGCTCCCCATCTATGAGTCTGTCTCTTTTTCCTCATAAGTTCACTTCATTAGAGTCCACATATTAGTAAAAGCATATAGTATTTGTCTTTCTCTGGCTGGCTTATTTCATTTAGCATAACGTTCTCCAGGTCCATCTATACTGTCTCAAAGGGTAAAATTGTCTTATGTTTTATGGCCTAGTAGTATTCTGTTGTGTAAATGTCCCATAGTTGTTTTATCTACTCATCTTCTGGTGGACACTTGGGCTGCTTCCTTATCTTGGTGATTGTAAATAATGCTGCAATGAACATAGGGGTGTTTATGTTTTTTTGAATTAATGTTTTGGATTTTTTGGATATATTCCTAGAAGAGGAATTGCCAGGTCAAAAGGCAAATCCATTTTTAATGTTGTGAGGTATATCCATACTGCTTTCCATAGTGGCTGTGCCAATCTGCAGAAGAAGAACAAAGTTGGAAAAATCGTGCTGCCTAATATCAAACTATACTATAAGGCCACAGTACTCAAAACAGCATGGTACTGATATAAAAACAGACACATAGATCAAGGGAACAGAATAGAAAGCCCAGAAATAAACCTAATATTATACAAAGGAAGCAAGTACATATAATGGGGTACAGACAGTTTATTTAATAAATGATGTTGGGAAAGTTGGACAAATACATGCAGAAAGATGAAACTAGATCACCTTCTTAAACCACACACAAGAATACATTCAAAATGTATTAGGGACTTAAATGTAAAGCCCAACACCATAAAAATCTCAAGAAGGAGACATAGGCAGCAAAATCTTAGACATTGCTCATAGCAATATTTTATCATATATATCTACCTAGGCAAGGGAGACAAAAGAAAACAATAAGCAAATGGGACTACATCAAACTAAAACATTTTTGCACAGCAAAGGAAACCATGAACAAAATAAAAAGACAACTCACAGAATGGGAGAACATATTTGCTAATATATCTGATAAGGGGTTAATATCCAAAATTTATAAAGAACTTACAAAACTAAACACCAAAACCACAAACAACTCAATTAAAAAATAGGCAAAGGACCAAGATAGACACTTTTCCAAAGAGGACATACAGATGGCCAATAGACATATGAAAAGATGCTCAATATCACTAATCATCAGAGAGATGCAAATTAAATCCACAACGATATACCCTCTCACATCTGTCAGAATGGCTATCATCAATAAATCAAAAAACAAGTGTTGGCGAGGATATGGAGAAAGGGGAACGCTTTTGCACTGTTGGGGGGAATGCAAAAACTTACTCTTAACCTTGCTGGCCAGATGTTGTGATTCCTTCTGCCATGGAGGGGATGTGGAAATTAGCACCTTCAGAACCACAAGTCCTTTAAATGCCTATGGCATTTAATAACCAGGTGACCCCCGCCTGGTCCTGGGTTTCAGGTAAATTAGCAAAATCAACAGAGATCATTTTTTCATCCGTTGAGCTCTGAACAGATGAAGTTGTCCTCTGGATTTGATAGATTAGTGTCTGAGAATTACCCAGTCCTTTCATATTTTGGAATTTAGATTTATGAATCACAGCAAAGTGAGAGAGGGCTGATTAAAAATGTCTTTAGATCAGCTATGAATGGCGAGGCCCTTGATTACCCATAGTGGGATCTTTAACTTGACATACTCAGGAATAATGTATTCAGTTATATTTATGAAAGTGAAATGCTGGTCACATGGAAGCAAATCTGTTCCTACATGTATATCATAGGAGTGATACTTTCCTAGCAGAAAAATCTGGATCTTAAGAAGTGTAAATTCTCTTCTCCAAACGGCTAAATTTATACTTTCACTGTTGATACAAATCGACTCCTAAGTGAAAATTGTTAACTTACATCCTTTCAAATAGTTTAAGGAGTGGTTGCTTTGAATTAAATCACTTGGTTCTTAATTTATGCTACCAACTAGGGTTTGGTTAAAACAAGAATAGCCATTTGTGACCTACAGAAAACGTCAAAAACCTCAAAATGTTGTGAGGATGTACATTTTTATCATCCCCACTTCATGGATGAGGAGACAGGTGCTTGTGGATGGTCAGTGACTTGCTGAAACCTGACACTGAGACCTGGCAGCTGGAGACAGGGATCTTTCAGCCTATCTCGCGGGCTCCTGAGACAAGGAGATGTCCTCAGAAGGCCATCCACCGTTCCCTTGCCTGGTAGGACGTTGTCCCTATTGCACGCCTGCTTTCTCTGGTGGAGAGGGTGGGGAGAGGGCCCCTCGGGAGTCCCGGTCTAAGGACCTGACCTTGTGTGAACAAGCACGTTTGCTAGCAGCAGTGGAGGCCTGGGGTGGAGGTCGTGGGGTTCCAGCTCCGGGCAGTGCCTGCTGAGGGTGGTAACATTTCTGTGGTGAGTCTGTCGGTGTGAATCAGAGAATGTTCCATGGTCTGGGGCCAGAGCCTGCCCTCATGATTTCTTGGACTTCACGTTCTGCTGCCTCTCTGTGGGAATGCAAGGAACTGACAGTGAGTGACTTGAGCTTGGGGCTAAAGGTAAGAAGCCCAAGTGAAGACACAGAAAACAGGTGCAACTCAAAAGAGAGGGAAAAGGCTTTCCCTACAGTCATTCTGGGAAGTGTACAACATTTTCTTTACCAGGTCTTCATATCGTAATGTGGTCTTCATATCTTTCCTTCTGCAGTGGAAGACTGAGCCCCGGGTATACTTAACTCCCAGGAAGAGGTCATTTATTTCATTTAGGGTAAACAGTTATAAAACCAAGCCTGTTTGACCTTTCAGGCCTGTCATATGTTTAGAAACTATTCTGCTCATAAAATGGTGTTCTACATAATTCTATCTTTGTATCAGTCCTTCTTGGTGAGATATTTGGCATTTTAAAAGAACCTAGAACACGGAGCTTGCACAAATGCTTATATAATTTTAATAGCAATATAGATAAGTCGCTGTG